GAGCATTTATAACGAAAGGCGATAAATGAAAATTACTCGGTGCGTTAGTGTATTATAGGCCGGGGTTGGCGGAAATGATCTTTTGGAAAATTATTGAATTATTAAAGGTGCATTATAAATTGTGCGACTGCCTAACTGGGCTCATTACTTGGGCCAAGTCGAGTTGCGCCTCGGTAGCATCGATTTTTTAGCGGCGACTCGAGCTGCTCGGTCACACAGAAAATGAAGGAAAGCAACCGCTTTCCATAACCTTGACCATCCACCTGAATAAACGAACAAAACTTCGCCGAATACACGTTTGTGCTCTCGATATACGTGGATCGCATGTGACGCGCATCTTCGTTTTCGCTTTCGCCGAGGTACGATGTTTTTCGCCACTCACTCGTGTTCGCTGCACTACCTGGTAATCATGATGCTCCCACGGTTTCTCACTCCTGTTCACACCTACGTACGTCCATACCTCGACAGGCGCAATGTCGTGACATACGCACAAGATGCCCGATTTTGTGACTTATTAGAATTGATTTACTGCTAGATGTAATTAACATTCGATTGGCGAAAATCAAGAATTGATTGATTTGCAAATAATACTCAACATGGACGGAGAATCACGTTTTCTCTTCTTTTTTTTTCTAAAAAAAGAAGAGAGCAAAAATTGCATTTAGTATCGAGAACGTTTCATTTCATTCGCGGCTAAACTTTAGTAATACTATAATTTGTCTGTGTAGTAAAAGTACATCGACTAAAATTGCGTGAAAATTATAAATTTAATCATAATGTGAATTATTTTCATTAGTTGTTTTAATAAGCTATAATGTTTGTATAATTTACGTTCTCTCTCTCTCTCTCTCTCTCTCTCTATGTATATATATATATATATATATGTGTATCTTTTTCCTGGAATTCTATTAAAATTTCAATCGTCCGTATTTACTTAAATGCAATATACTTACATGTAAGTAACACGAACTTGATAAATCGGCTTCTCACACTTTTTTTCATCCTCAATTAAATTTCCAATAATACGAAATCGATATGTACATGCTCATTTATACAAACATGCACAAACTTATACAATACCATTGCGCACACGCATACACACGTACGTACACGCACTCACACCTGTATATACGTATATATATATATATATATATATATTTTTTTTTCTGTTTCTTTATTCATTTCAACACACGTATACGCACGAGCGCGCACGCATGTGTAATATATGTATCCATTTGAGCTCGAGAGGTAGAAGTTCGGGAAGGAAACAGGATCAAAACTTTCTCTAACGATGTGGAACTTTTTCTTTCCGTGACTTATGAGGAGGAGCCAATATTTGTAGAAAAATTTCGAAACTCAGCGTAAAGAAGTACGCTATTCGTACGGGACGACGGTCGACGTTTTTGAAAGAGATATTTTTAAGTTTAAATACTCTCGACCCTTCCGAACATTATGACAATAGCACTGTTTCATGATAACGCAATGGTCACATTTCATTTTTATCGTTCCATGTCAATTAAGGTTACAGCCGTACGGCAACCCAACGTCTCATCTGTCGCTCTTATATTATAATTAGTCCTCGATAATACAAGCGCTCCTCAGCAGCGAAGCCTCCGCTAATATGGAAATTTATGTATAGCAGCAACCGAGGTTAGGTGTCGGCTGACCTCTGCCGAACGGGTCAGCCGTTGTGCATTAAAAAATTTTGTTTTTTTTTTATGTTTTTTTCTTTTCGTAAAGAAACCCATCGCCTCCTGCCGATGTCGACTGCGACTTCTCGTTAGGCCTTGTCTCTATTTCTATCTCTTGTGCGGTAGCGATGCCATTGCCCGGTGATTTCGACGTGCATTATGCTAAGTGCGTAATTTGTGTGCGATCCCCCGTTCGCTCGGAATCCCTCGCCACCCCCACTCCTTCTGCTCGCACCATCTTCTTCCGAGTATATTTTCAAGTTGAGTATATTTTCCTCGCTATCGTCTCCTCACACGCACGAATTCCTTGTCCCTCCTCCTCTGTCACTTTAATCGACATTTAGCAACGTTAACATTTAACGTATTCTTGATTTTACATGCTAAATACCATTTATCATTATCAAGCGCGGGCGCTTGCTTATGCGACTTACACAGATAAAGTAATTTATCTTTTTCGTATTTAAAATTGCCAGGGCTATCGGCTTACTGTTTCACATTCAGCTTACATTGCTTACCATTTTTTTCGCTACTGTCTTTCAATTCGTAAAAGTACCTACCTCTTCGCCTTCTCTTTTGTCCGCCGAGACGGATTTAGAAAAAATCAAAACAAAAAAAAAACAAAAAAAAAACTAAGCCGAAATCACGAAACACGTAAGCGTAAATCCAATCATATTCGGCTTGTTAAATTCTATTTCACAGGCTTTACTCGATTTTCTTATATCCGAATAATTTAAGGTAATTTTAACCGTTACAAGCCATTCGCCAATAAATATAAGGCAATTACTCCAATATCGGTAAATTATTTTAAATTATTTAGTTAAGCGAACATTAATAATACTCCTATCCGTAATACTCTTATCCGTTTTATATAATTAACATGAATATTATTAATAATAATAATAATAATAATAATAATAATAATAATAATAATAATAATAATAATTGAAACAACAACACAAGGAAAAAGCTTTTACTTAATCTTATTGCAACGTTATTATATAAACAATGATATGGATTTTTCGCGCATGTAGTTACCGTAATATTTAATTACAAGAGTATATTATTATTTTTGCAGCGTTGTAGTTTTTCTCATTATATACGCGTTTATTTGCTAATGTGAAAGTACATGGAAACAATTTGTACTGTAAATATTAAGATTAACCAACACGACGATGCAGTAAAAAGACGCGAGTGATATTCCGTCTTCATTTATCTGCCATAAGCTACACATAAGCCCAGTTTTAATTAGGGGTCCCTTTTTTTCGCCTCTTTATTCTCCCGCTGTTGCTTTAGACAAAGACGACAAAGTTTTTCGCGCTTACTGCTAACCATTGTTTTCTCATTTAAATTTCTCTAAGAAAAAAAAAAGGACGGTATAATCGCAGCTGACCTATGATTTAGTTCATACGTGCACCGATCGGCCGAGAATATATAATATTCTCGATAGTTCAGCAACTCTTTCTATAGACGCTTTAATTTTTTCTCTTTAACCACTTTAACAGCGATTCCATTAACTTTTAATTGTCTTTTTATTGTTTCGCGGGCCTGTATTAACTAGAGAAGAAAAAAAAAGAAATAAGGAAAAGAAGAAAAAAAGATAAAAAAAAAGAATGAAAAAAAATTATGCTCTAGAAATATATATCAGTATTATGTTACAAGTAGTGTGATTTCATTACTAAATGTATTTCTTTTTACGAAAGGGAAAGTTTTTCTTAATAGTGCCCATTATTATACGTATAATAAATAATTGGTTTAAATTAAATAGAAAAAAAAATTCACATATATATATATATATATATCCTTTCAATTAAAGTGAAAATTTAATTGTTATATGAATTGTCGAGCACTCGTTCTATGTAAACGTTGTAATACAAAAATCGCTTACATTATACGCCCTTGTCTGCGCCTTTCCATTTCAACTTCAAGTTTATCAAGCATATTCGCGATTACAAACAAACAAAAAAAAAAAAAAAAAAAAAAAAAAAAAAAACTTAACAATGCACGTAGTACCTTCGACCATCGAAAATACGAATTTGTTTTTCATTACTAATGCAGCATAGCAAGCAGCTTCTTGGCACTGTAAATAAAATATATAAAACCAACGGCTTTATTGACATTATCATAGAATACAATTTTAAAGAACCTGACGCATGTAATGGAAATTTATCGACGTCGCAATTAAGCACGATGTCGTCGTACAAAACGCGAGACTGCGGGAAAAAAAGACTACACGCACGACGATAACGATAAAGTTCCTATCGCAATAACAATAGCGACGATACGATCCAGTCACCGCAAATCTATCAAACGAGCTTGCGAACGGGCGGGCGTTGATATATATATATTTTCTCGCTCATTTACGTATTCTGAGTTGCGATAGAATTTTTCTCAATTCGCGCGCGTCTTGGAACCGTTAGAACGCATTGCGTTTTAGGAAATTTGACTAACCACCTCCTTCCGCCCCGCCATCCCCTCCACCACCCACCACCGGGTCACGCAGTAATCTCAACGTGGAGATGGGAACTCTTGACGTTATGGCGAATCATCCGCTGATGGTCCCAATGGTAGCGGAGAGAACGGGCTTGAGGGTGGGGGGGGGGCCGGGCACCGTCCCGGAGAAAGCCACGGGCCAGCGATAGTGCGCAGCTTTCCTTGGCGGTTGACGACTTTTCATGTGCGTACGCGCGTATGCCCGCAGCTCGCGCGCCCAGTCATAACGGCTCGACAAGGACACCCGACCCGACGCCGATGCACCTGCGATCCCATTAGCGACGACGATACTATCGGTCCTGGAGAGCGAAACCGCCCCTGCGAGCGGAGGCGCACCTGACGCGCCCCGCGAAGCCCCCGCACCCTGTGAGAATCGCCACTAGGTCGGCTTCTCACACGCAAACTCCCTCCCACCCTTTACCGCGCTTACCTCCCCGTCGCTCCCCACCTTAGCCGCCCCTCAATTCGCCACCGCCTTCGCAACCCCTTGGCGTCTCGCTCCGGCGGCTCGAAAATCTCGCGGACGACGAGGAGTCTCCTCGACGAGACCTGGGGACGCGTTTTTGGCATTTTCCACCTCGTCCGTTCCTACGTCTTTACGCCTGCTTGACTTCTAATTCCTCCATCACCATCCCCTCCCCTTCCGTCTCTTCCTTCTCGAGCTGGTCTTTTGCGAAAGACCTTGGATACCGACGAACCTGGACACGCCGAATTGAGAGCTTATTAAAAAAAACTGCCTGTCGTCCATTTTCCCTTGGCTTTTGCGTCAGTGTTGCCAATGGGCTACGATACACTAACACAATCCTCTCTATGTTACAGATATTCCGGCACAAGTGCCGCCACTTACGCCTGGAACCAACAAGAAGATGACCGAGGCCTTGAAGGCCTCCTTCGCATCGTGGGAAAAGGAACAAATTCGCCTCAACATAACCAAAGGTCAGCAAACGCGCACACGCACGAGACAGACAGACGGAGACACAGAGAGAGAGAGAGAGAGAGAGAGAGAGAGAGAGAGGGAAAGAAAGAAAAGAGCAATGCGAAGGAAACAGCCGCCAGGGTCGCGTTTATAATGTATTATTGGGTGGTGTTATATCGAATCGACAGGACATTGCACTATTGACAATGTCCCTATATATTTTTTTGACAGCCGGGATGCTATTTCTTCTACGGTGCCCAGCATTTCAAGTAAAATCGACGGAATTGCAAAGTACCGTAATAATTCGCAGCTAATTAAACATCTATCGGACGTATCAAGAGCGGCAAGCTCATTGGATGGAAAGACAACGTTTCTGACGCAAAATTAAAATATTTATCGTTGCCTGAAAGCGGCCGCTCGTGCGCAAAACATTTCAATTGAAATTCACGCAAACGATATTAATCAGACACGCGGCTATCGTCGTACGGATAGTCCCTTTCATCTATTCCCGTGGTACCCTCGCATTTTTTTCCAGCGCCGCATTCATGCGACTGGTCTCGCGTGTCTAATTCCGGCATACCTGTATGTACTCCGAGCGCGCACGCACGCATGCACGCACGCGCACACACGGAGCGTATTGAATGCACCGGGTGCACGACGCGTCGCGCTGCAGCTACGTCCATAGGAGCACCGGCTGCGTAAATAGCACTTGTCGCACTTTCATCTCCATGAGGTCGGTAATATAAAAAGCTGGCTTCGACGGCGGGGTGGGGGAGGCGTCTAGCAAATAAACAGGATTGCCAAGCCAAGCGTCTCCTCTCACTAGCTCTCTCTCTCTCTCTCTCGCTCTGTGTCCTCGTCTCTCTCTCGCTCTGTGTCCTCGTCTCTCTCTCGCTCTGTGTCCTCGTCTCTCTCTCTTGTGCTTTACGTGTCGTTTTTTTTGTCGTAAGAACGGAGCGGAGGTGCGCGTTCACTGTTACACGGTTCACAGAGGTCACAGACGAAGTGATCTCTCTCCCTCTCCCATTTCGGCGGCCGTAATACCAAGCTTAAGTGGGAGAGAGACGGGTGAGGATCACGAACGGAAGTATCGTCACACCCGCCTGCCTCTGAATGCGCATACCGGATGCGTGGCATCGGCTCCCCATCACGGGCCCATCAAGCATCGTCGTACTCACGATTCCCGCGCGCAACATACACACACACACACGAGCAAAAAGAACGAGACCATAGATTTGTGTGCGTGTGCGATGCCATTCGGCGAGATCGGGGAGGGCCTGTCTATGCGGCCCCGGGCTATACTTATTACTTGCTGAACGAGGTGGACAGGCTCGAGGGAGTCTTGTCCGATTTACCGATTAGATGTCTGTCGTTGGTTCGGCCGCGATTGTTGCGCGTTAAGATTCGCAAGAGCGATGCGATATCTCTCTCTCTCTCTCTCTCTCTCTCTCTATTTATCCCCCCCCCCCTCTCCATCTCCCTTCAATTTCAATTGCGATCTGACTACACATGCTATACATGCGTGGACTGCTTTGTTTTTGCCACTATCTTTACTACCGCGCGACATCCAACGAAAGTTTGCCTCTCCCACTTTCTTTTTCGATCGCGTTATCGCACCTCGACATCATCTACGCTTTGTGGTCGAGGAATACATTATTTTAATTACTTTCTCTATTGAACAAAAGACATGGCTGATTCATATGCTTAAGAGCACGAATTATTTATCCCCTGTCAATTGTGAATCGCGATGCGTGAATTTCACTCGGACGCATAGTCACTTTTTTCTCTTTTGTCATACAAAATTTTTATTTTAATGAAGTCAGCTAGCGCAAAGACCTCTAATAGAGAGCGACAGAGTTAAACTCGGCCCTTATGCCAAACTCGAGCGATATAAATCCTATAGTCGCTGACCCCTGAGCTTGTTACTCGCAGCAAGTGCGTCAAATCAAAGGTGCAAACGTCTAAGAAAGGACATAATGAGAAGGAAGTGAGCTAGGGTGGAAGAGCGAGGTGGTAGTGTCGGAGGAGTACGGTTAGGTTGATGACGGATGGAGAGCGGGTGTGTGGGAGAAGGAGAGGGATGGGAACGAGGTGGAGGATGAGGAGGAAGAGGAGGTGGAGGAGGTGGAGGAGGAGGAGGAGGAGGAGGAGGAGGAGGAGTAGCTTACCCTACTGCAGTATGCGAAGAGAGCCAAACAAAAGAGTCTGTTAACAGAGCCAACAAGAATCAAGCCGAGCAAACATCGGACGCGATCCTCAAATATCGGCGGCCACCTTTGATCGTCCCCACGGCCATTAGAAACTGCACGCCTCCATCTCTACCTCTTCGGCCTCCTTTGCCTCCTTTGCCTCCTGTACCTCCTTTGCCTCTACCCCCTCGTACCTTTCCTCGCGTATGTTTGCCGTCCGTGACCGCGAGATTATTCCGCAGAGCAAAGTCCTTCGCTCTTTCCTTTGCACGACCCGTGTCCCTATCCCCTCTCCACGTTCGACCAATTCATTCATCTTGAGCATATGCTTCTCTCCTACGATTTCTCTCTCTCTCTCTCTCTCCCTCTCTCGTCCCATTATGCAAGTGCGTTGAATCGTTTTTCAAAAACGTATGACGAGGTAGACCAAATTTAATGGATATGGGGCCTGGAATTCTACGGGACTAGTTTCCCTCCTACTTTCGAGCCTTTTCAAGAGAATTTGTATTTTTTGACGCGCAATGGGACAGATCGAAAGATCGGGATCGTTATTACGACTACTCGAGCCGCTAACGAATAAATTAATTGGAGTGACATTTCGAGCGCTTTTGATGATTGAATTTGCGGTTATCGCTCGTGGCTGCCATCAATTTTAATGACATTGCGGACTCGCTTGACATATACAAATGCGAATCTTACATTCTTCGTCGTGATTGCGGGAGAACTCGAAGCAAAGGTACGTCGTGGAAACAATGCGCCATAATGTTGCGAACCCCTGGATATGGGTGTGCACTGGTAGTCGCACCTTCTCTCTCTCTCTCTCTCTCTCTCTCTCTCTCTCTCTTAAACACGCACGCCCGCACTCACTCCCTCGCTCCCTCGCACTCGTACATACATATCATGTGTATATATATATATATATTTATAGAGAGAAAGAGAGAGAGAGAGAGAGAGAGAGAGAGAGACACACACACACAGTAACAGAAAGAGGCACGTACTAGTACATTGACTCTGGCTCTTTTATTCATATATATTATCTAACTTCGCAACTAGACCTCGGTATCTCTTCTTTTCCAGTTAAATTGTGTGTATTTTGCTAAACATATACAGATTTTTGTATAAACGCTATCGGAGAAATTTACAATTTCACTAGAAATATATTCAATTTTTTTTTTGTATATATTTATTTTGGTACTCCTGGGATTTTTTTTTTGTTATTTAAAAACATACATTTTTCTCTGATATTACGAATTAAATAAATTCAAGCTCAGATGTTGCACAATACTTTTGAAAGTAGTATGACCTTTTTAACATAAATACTTTAAATTTACTGTATAATAATAATAAACGTACATTTATCGTTATTTTTAGTAGCCCATTTTGTGGTTAAATAACAAAACGTGACGTATAATCTGAATTCAAAATATCGTTGAAAGTAAATGAGATATCTGGTAATTGGGGTATATAAATTTACGAAAATGCTAATGAAATATATAATGTATTTGTATATCATAGTTTCAATTTCAAAATAAGAGCCTTTAACAAAATATAAATTATAGAAGTCTGGGGGGTATTATAATGACATCCCCGATAAGTGCGACGTAAGTAAATAAATGAAAAATTATTTTGCGTATTTACAGATCCTCGACAGTGGTCGGAATCGGCGGTGGCTAATTGGATGCAATGGGCAATTCGTGAATTTTCCCTCGAGGGTGTGGCAATGCAACCCTGGCAACACATGACGGGAAAGCAAATTTGCGCCATGGGCAAGGAGTCATTTTTGGCCCGAGCTCCTGTATTTATGGGCGACATACTCTGGGAGCACCTTGAGATACTACAAAAAGGTAAGTGATCTCACATCTTTGCAATATTTAGAAATACAAAATTGTGCGAAAAATGTGTCGATAATCTATGTTGGCTTAAGGAATACAAACTCATAGGTACTTTAAACAGTTTTATCACATTATGTACAAAATTAAGAGATAACATGGAATGTATATTCTGTTAATTAGACCATTATTGCCGAGCACTTAATTAACTTAGGGAAATAAAGTAGAAAGTAAATGATTACTTTCAAAGCTTGTATAGATAATCTGTGAATCATATTCTTGAAAGTCAACTAAATTTTACAATCTTTACATAATAATAATCGAACTCACTGTTAAAATTTCAAATCTAATTAAATGAAAATCTGTATAAAAACAAATGAATAAATATTTCTGTGTAAACATGCATAAATATTACTGGGGCAATTGTTTGTTAATCGTGTGTAGAAAAGAATGAAAAAAGAACGAAAAAGAAAGAAAAACGAATAATGAAAAAGAAGAGAACATGAAACTATTGTGGAAATCTTAAAGTAGATTAAAGAAAATTATTGTCATTGTTATTTATTGTTCATTTTTGTCGATGCGATTCCAATAAACTCGTGTTTTTTTTCTCCCTATTCTATTTTCATTTTTCGTTCAATTATACTCACTTCAAGAACATAGATAAGATAAACATTGTGAGCTTGTTTATTTTTGCTTTGAAGTAACGTTAAAAAATTATCTAGAAAAATTTATCAACAGTGTCGATACAAGCGTACATTTCTAGGAATACAATTAGAATTTCTTCTTTTTCTTTCTTCTTTTTTTTCTTCTTTTATTGTTGTTGTTGTTGTTGTTGTTGTTGTTGTTGTTGTTATTGTAGTAATTATTAATAATAAGTGCTGTTTTATATGTATTTTCAAAGTCATTAAAATTCATTGTCAATGTTCTTCTTCTGTTTTATTTTTGTCCTCGATATGCCTCTTCCACGGCCAGGTTTCATCCCCGAATCGTACAATCGTGTTTTTGAAATTCGAATCAATTTCAGAAGTATGTAAAAAAAAAAAAAAAAAAAAAAAAAAAAAAACAAAGCCTCTCTCTAATGCGCATTCTAGTAATTCGCTATTTTCATAGTCGTCTCAACCTTTATTTAAAGAATTAAATGCTCGACGATACTCGCCAGATATACGCTGCAGTCGGATCAGTCAACCTGTCAAGTCGGTGTCAAATTAGTCCTCGAGTAGGAGCTTAAAAAAAAAAAAAAAAAAAAAAAATGAAAAAAAAAAGGAAAATAAAATAAAAAAAGAGAGAAAAAAGATGAAAAAGAAAAGGATCCGTTTGGATTCGCTGGCATTATATTTAAGCGTTCGTTGCTATATCAATGAGCAGATACATAACTCGGAACAAGTGAATCGCATGGAAAGAGACGAGATTGAAAGAAAGGTGCATCATGAGCGTAAGCAGTAGGGTGACGTATGTGAGAGAGTAAGAGGGAACTCGGTGTGCAAGTGTGCAGAGGAATGACAGTAAAGTAGAAAATAAAGAATCGAAAAGATGCATTAAATAGAGATATTTGACGTGGAAGACGGTAGCTTCACACAACATCCGGCCGTGAGTCGATGAAAATAGATCAGATTTCCGTAAAATTGCAATGTCTCATCCTCTCTCTTTGTCCGACTCTGGCCCCTCTCCACCTCCGGCGCTCTCTTTCGCTCTCTCGCTTCTTCTTGTGCCGCAACAGGTAGCCGAGCAGGCGCACGCATAACGCGAAAGAATGGAGCAAAGAGCACAATAATGCGTACAGAATGACGACTACGGCGAGTAAAGTAGCGGGGGCGGGGGAGGCGAGAGGAGGCGCGGCGAGGCGAGGCGAGCGCATTCAATCGGCGCCTCGGACTTTTTGTGCGCTGCACGCCACTAGTGCGTCGTGAGTTGGTCGATAGGTGCCGGAGGGGAAGGGAAGGCCAAGCGAAGAGTGAGAGAGCGAGTGAGAGCGACGATGGGGAAAAGAGCGAAGGAACGAACGAACGAACGAACGAACGAACGAACGAACGAACAAGAGCCATTGAAATCAGCTGGTAGTCCGGAAATGCTGCGGAGAGTATAATGGAGCACCGATATACCATTTCATTGGTATATAAACCATATTAAGTAATGGTAAAGGGGCGCTGGTAGATGCGGGGTGGATCGAACTATGGTGTCGATGGGCCACGTGTTTACGCAAATCGAGCTTTATGTGTATTTATTGGGGCCCCCGGAGACGTCGTTGATGCCCTTTTTCCCGCTAACAAACGAATGAAACGAGAACCTTAGAGTTTACGTTTGTCTATTGACAAAGTACTCGCGAGTTTTTGATGGGAGCACCATCGCCAAGAACTCCTACTACGAAATTCTTTCCTTTCTCTCTCATTGACCAAATTTTCTCTCCATTTTAATAAAAGGAATTCGACTGGAAGAACACTCGATCGATCCCCCCCCCCTCTCTAACCCCTCTCCTTTTTCCTTTCCATTTTCTTATTTCGTAATTTAGAGCGCTGCTCAGCTGACAGCTGAATTCATTTAAGTTGATGCTGAATTACTTACTTGCTGCAGCTACATTTTCATATACGAATGCGTATGGTTAGGTAGGTAGATGGGTGGGGTGGCACGGGGTGGGATGGGCTGATTCTTTGTGCAGTGCTTTATGTGCGCCTGCTTCGTACGAAGCCATTATTTATCATTTCATTTTAATATATTTCCTTCATTATAATTCGTGCTATCTATCTGAGATACATTGGCCAGAAAGCAGTTCACTTGTTTCTTACCCGTCTCTTTATGTTTTCAAGTATTTTATATGAAATTATAAAGTGCCGGTGATTAATGAGCCACTTAATAAGGGCTTTAGCAGCGCCTCGCGAAGACCAAGGATAAGGAAAGAGAATCCCCGATTTATTATTCCGGGGCTGATGCGTTGGAGAGGGCGAATACGGCGTCCGTGGCGTCGCAGAACAATGAAATGCATCGCGAAGGAAAGTTTCGATCGCGCGGATCAGCGACGACGTTCGGAATTTCGCAAAAGGTCAGGGGCCGCTGGCTCAGAGAGGCGGAAAGTCACTATTCTAATGCCCCCGGCGGATCTGAAGAAAAGCAGGAAGCGCGATTTCGCTCGCGGCTCTCTGCGCCGGAATAAAAAGCCGGCGAATAATAAAAGGAGGAAAAAACGTAAATAAATAAATAAAAAATAAAAGAAAAGAAAAGAAGAGAAAAAAGAAGGGAGGATAAAGAAATTCGGAGCCGATCAGCGCAAAAAAAAAAAAAAAAAAAGAGGCGTGAAAGGCGCGGTGGTGGCTGGGGACCACGAGAGATGGGATTTTGAAGGGGGGGGGGGCATTAGCTGGCGTGCGGATTCGACGCGTCGATGCGCGGACACGCGAAGAAGGGACATTTTTCAGTCTTCGGCAACAATAACCCGCGCCGGCCAGTGTAATTGGAGCCGACTAATGGCCGCGCGTATCTGCCCTCCCGCAGTATGTCCGTTGCTGCAACGGCTGCCATCGAGATTCCGATCTCTTTGTCCGCGCGAGCCGCGCATGCGAAACGCCTCGCGCATCTACGACGTGAGCGCGTCCTTATCTCCCAATGGGTTCATCAGACGTACTGCGATAAAAATGAATATTACCGAGCCTGTGGTGTATGGCCCGAAGAGAAACAAGCCGATCGTCGTATCTCTTTCTTCCTGCTGCTGCTGCTGCTGCTGCTGCTGCTACTGCTGTTGCTGTTGCTGTTGTTGTTGTTGTTGTTGCTATTGCTGCTGCTGCTCTCTCTTTCTCCGGCAATCACTCTCTTTCTTAGCAACCTCATTTTATGGATCGTCGCTTCAATATTTGTGCCAAGTTCTTTGAAAAATTATGGTCTATTGTTGTGGGACAACTGCTCGACTTAAATATGGCACATGCCCCACTACAAACTATGATAAAGGAATATTTTTATTACGTTATAATTTTTATTTATTAATATTTGCTTGCTCGTATTTATAACGACTCGTAATACTTCATGAATAAGTCCACCATTCGCTTAAATTCAAATTTGCTCGTTATTTGTTCATACTCGTTTCCTCATTGTATGGCGGCGATTCTTTAGAATCCTTTGCAATAATTTTTCTTCTTCTTCTTCTTCTTCTTCTTCTTATTCTACTTCTTCTTCACTTACAAGTCACACTCGTCGTCGCATTGTTTGTCGCACAATTGTTAAATAGCTGACTTATTATATGTCTTTAAAGGATCGATTAATTATTTTAGCGCCAAATATTAGGGAGGCAAATTTTTTGTTTTTGCTTTCTTTTCATTTCACCTTAAAGCATTCTCCTATTTCTAATCACACCAACATAATTCCAACAGTATTACATTTTGTATAAAGCAGCTGAAATAGGCAAAATCAAGAATAGCTCGAGAGACAATTGAGCCAGTTTGCCCGACACGAAACCCGCGGGTCTATTTAATATATCTACAACCAATAGAGAACCCAAGAGATAAATAGTACAGCGTCGACACATTTTTCACACGTAGCTACGTCTATAAATATCAGGCACCGTTCACCGTTAACACTTATCGATCATCCACATTGGCATTCGATATCCCAATGCATACGTCACACCCACCTCAACTCCATAGCCGCTTAATAATAATCGGCACTATCGATATGCTCGAAAAATTGACAAATTCTCCTACGCCATACCCCTCTCCGCCCTCCCCCCCCCACCCCCCGCACTTTTAACCCTTTACCATTTCCCCTTCCCCGTTATCCCTTCACCGTTCCCCCTTCCCCATCCCATGGGCCCACTACAAATCAAAATCAATCCGTAGCGAGATTGAAAAAATAAGAAAATTATGAAAAGCCTAAGGAGAGATTGGCTTCTGTTCTTAGACGTCGATCTCGAAAAAGCGTCCTTGGAGAACATGCCGGCGAACCTCTACGAGAGCGTATGCGTCCCGGATCTCGGCGAGTTCCTGGGCTACCAGGGCAACGCGGGCGGCAGCAGCGTCAGCGCCTCCGGCGTCGGGGGCAGCTCATCCGCAGCTGCTGCTACCCCGGAGAACAAGGGCCCGGCAACCCCAGCCAGCGGTTGCTCGAGCATCTCGAGCAACTCTGCGGCGAGCGCCATATCCGCGCCCTCGCCGATCGCCGTGACCCTGGTCCCGCGGCAGTACCACACCGACGGTGAGTTATTCACTCATAATCCTCATAATCTCATAAGTTGGAAATCGCCCGAACCCATACGAAAAATTGTCTACCCTCGAGAAGTTCGTAAGGAGCACGCGTGGCTCGAATCAGGAGCCTGGTGGTTCCGCCTGGGCGGAAATCACAAAGCGAATCACGAGTCTGTGGCGTAATAGGGGAACGGTAAGGAGTTCGCTGACGCAAGCTCTACGTTTTATAATGGCATTTTATTGTGAGGCTTGTTTTCATTGTATTTTTTGCGCATTTCATTATTTACGGGCTAATTTCATTTATGAAAATCTTTGGGAAAACGCCGACGATCGATGCTGCATCGCACTCTGTTACAATATTGTAATTAAGCACGACACGCGAATCTCGCAATTTTTATAGGACTCGAGTATGTCTGTCTCCTTGGTAACGCACGCGCTTCCTAGCATCCTCATCCATTGGGTGCGGCCACTTTTCGATACTCCGCAATGCCGGCGAACCGGCCCACGATTGCGCAAACATTTGCAAACGCGGCTCTCGCGTTCGTGGATTCCCTTTGTGAGGAGTATCATCGCATGAGCCGAGCCTCCCGGGAGAGTGAGAGCAAGTAAAACAAGAGTTGAAGCGAGATGTAGAGTAGGGGAATGAATTTCAAGTTGTAAGATAAAAGAAGAAGAAAGGAGCGATTGAATTGTCCGTGGCAAGGACCGCGCACCGCCTCGATGTCTCGTGACAAAAATCCCCGTCGGCTGCTTTTTTCCATTCTAATGCAAACGAAAGCACAGATTGACTTGCATTCGCGAGGTTTTTCATTGTTACATCAAACGGGTCGCCCCACCCTTCAACCGATTGAATCTTTTCCGGGTTGCCTTATGCCTTCGGGATGTCGGATTTTTTTTTTTTTTTTTTTTTTTTTTCCCCCCCCGCCAGATGAAGAACTCTTCCTTAGCCGTGGCCATTGGCAATTTTATGCGCTGCTAATTGCGCGGAAGGCGAGCTCATTTTTTCACCCGAAGCATCCCGTATCCGTCTCCCTCCCCCACTCATCCCCACGTTAAGCGCCATTGCTTTATCTAACTAGATACCAATGGCAATCGATTTGTATTTTATTGGCGGAGATTGGTGTCGCCAATCGAGAAACGGACATTACGAGAAACTTTCTCGTCCCGCTCTCGTGTCGCGCTCTCTTGCCACTTGCTTTACGTATTTGAAAAAAAAGATTTTATCGTCCTCCGTTGGCCAGCCATATTTTATCTTGTTTTACCGTATTACCGAGAATATAATATACTTTATATTTTTATCGAGCGTGTTTTTTTCTTCTTCGTTTTATTAAACGTATTTTCATCTTCTCTTTTTACTTTTTTTTTTTTTTATTTTTTTATTTTTTATCATTTTGGATGAATAAACGGCTGCGCATAAGAGTTATTATTATGTTGAACAAATAATGACTGCAAAAGTATTCGACAAATACAAATTACCGTCGAATTTTAAATGATTATTTGACTTGGGCAA